TGGCCAGGGTCTCCTCCAGGCGCCGGTGTGCTGATTTGCCGTCTTCCCCTGCAAGGAGATTCCCTTGGGTCAGTGAATGCAGCTGCAGCAGCTCCATCCCCTGCTGCTTTCCTTGGTTTTTCCAGGTTGGAACTAGATGGTCTTTATGGTCCCTGCCAACCCAAAGCATGCTGTGGTTCTATGATTCTATGAAATGTGGCTCATGCCTGGCAGAGATGAGCAAGTGTGCCGCAGAGTGGAGACCTCTCTTGCCCCCCCTAGCACACCCTTGGGCAGGTCCTGACTGGGATCCAGCTCAAAAAGTCCCCAGAGCTCCTGATTCAGATGGTGCAAATCCTGTTCTTCAGCTCCTGTTGTACCTGTGTCCACGTGGGATGGGGTCACCCACGTTTGGGACAGCCCCACGTGGGGCAAAGGGGCCAGGGCTCGGGGCTGTGCTGGCTGCAGCATCACAAACAGCTGTGCACATCTGCATGCAGTGGTACGGGGGTCCCGAGGGCTTCCCCAGGACCCCCTGGGCACACACAGGGATGGAACTCATCCATGCTAGGACTTGGCTCTGAGCTCTCCACCCGGCACCCCCCGCACGCAAATCTGCCCACAAATCTGCGGCCACACCCAGCGAGAGGTGGTGACACGGACATTCTGCTGGGACATGGGACACAAGGCGCCTACACGTGCTGCGGTGCCATGGGGATGGGCTCTACGAGCAACCAAGACACACAAGACTCCAAAAGGCCACACGGCTGACAGGCTCTAAGACGGAGACATTCGTGAGCAAAGCGGCAGGAGTGGGGACAGGGGGACGAGGACGGCTCACGTGTCCCAACCTGTGCAGCAGCTGCCGCGATCTGGAGGCCTAGAAACCCACTCAGATGGTTCTCTCAGTGCCATCTAGCAAAAATAACAACCAGGCTTAGTGCTCTGTGGCTGCTGGATGCCTGGCCCTCGCTGCCAGCTTGCTCTTGCCCACCAGAGCTCGGGGCATGATGAGCGGGTCAGGCAGGGACCAGCCCGGAACCCCCTTCTCCTGCGGGCACTGCTGGCACCAGGAGGTGCTGCTCGGTACGTGGTGGGTGGGGAGGGAGCAGAGAGGAGCAGCAGGACACTCACCACACAGCATCAGGCTCTGCTTGGCTGCCTCCCGCACAGGCTCCTTGTCAGTTTGGCACAGGTAGACCAGCTGCTCGATGCTCTCCTTGGCCTGCAGGAGAAGGGAGAAGGGCCCGAGTGGGGCTGGAGGCAGGGACACATCCAGGGGGGTGGTGGCACAGGGCACTGCAGCCTCCTGCTGCAGGAAAGGCCCTCATTCTGTCCCTCCCTTCCCCATCTCCCTGCCCTGCCCGTGCTTGCTTCTCCGGCACATTTGGGGCACCCCCAGCTCCTCTCTCCTGGGAGTCCGGCAAGGTGTGTCTGGACTGGCCAGGCAGATGCCATTCCTCTTCCTCCTCCTGGGGAAGGTGCAGCCCCTGCCACCTGCTCCCCACATCCCCCCTCACCTTCAGGCAGCCCAGCGCCGCGCACCCGGCCACGCGCGTCTGCACCTCCTCATCCTCCAGCTGCTCCAGGTAGCACACGAGAGCCTGGGGGACACCAGGGGGTCAGCGCCACTATCTAGGGGAGGGGGATGGAGACAGCACCCCAGGGACCACAGCACCACCCCACCTCGTTCCCAGCTTGCCCAGCACGTACCCGTTGGCGGAAGCGGGGGTTTTCTGCCAGGCTGCGAAGCTGGGCCGACACGGCGCTCACCACTTTGCTGTTGCCCTCCACGAGGAGCAGGCTCAGGGCCTTCAGTCCCTCCTTCTTCAGGCGGCCCTCAGGGACACGCTTCAGGGCACGCAGCACCACGTCCTGGTCATCTGAGTTGAGGTTCTGTGCCAGCAGGGCTGCAGGGGAGCACCAGCTGAGCTGAGGGGCAGGGACGCCGGTGGCAGCATCTCTGTCACCGCAGAGAACCCACCCCCGGGCACCCTGTGCCTGTGCTGGGCAGAGGTGGCCCCACAAAGAGTGCCAACACCTGGAGCTGCCCAAGCCCAAGGACCTACGGTGCTCAGGGAGGCAGTGTGGGAGTGGGCTGTGCACCAGATCAGGCTGACTTGCCCACCCCAAGGATGGCTGGGCCTCTGGGTGGTGCCCAGGGTGGTCACGGAGGCGCTGCAGGGTGATCCCCTACAGTGACGCTCCAGCATCCCACAGAGGGTCTGAGGGTGGGAGGACACCCACCTTCCTCTGCCAGCTCCATCATGTAGGTGTCGAGCACCAGGGCGCCGAGTGACTCAAAGTGGCTCCAGTACTGGAAGATGGTGACCTGTTCGCCCTGGGCGCTGCCGGGCCGCCCGGGCA